ATATATATAAAATGGTGTCTCCCCAGCCCCAATCTGGCTTATGACAGCGAAGTCCTTACTCTCGGATGAGCCTGGCATTGCCTTCACACTGGAGGATCTACTGCCTGTGGCATTTAATGTCCTTGCCAACCCTGGACAGCTCCCAAAAAGCACAGAACTTGGGAAGCTCGAAAGACCTGTGAGACCCTCCAGTGGAACCCTTTTATTGTAGATGAGGGCAAAGGTTGCACGCAACAGTGCCAGGCTACCCCACTATGACAGCCCAGACACCCTCAGGTGCTGTGGATACCATGCTGTCTGGGCCCGGGGGGACCTAATCAGGATGAATGGCCACTTCCACACCCTGGTTTTTAATTCACTCCATATGAAGCAGTCAGCATTGTCAGCTCTCCAAGGCCTGAAGGCTTTGAGGGCTGCTTTCCATGAGATCCCTTCCTTTCCACTATTCCAGGCCAGTGGAAGCCACTGAGATCACGGGCCTCAGTGGGTTGTACCCTCTGGGCTCCATGGGTTTGCTCACTCAATCCTAATAAGATCAGCTTAATTCTCACTTCTGCTGCTCCCCAGAGGGTACAGCTTGAACAAGGTGGGGCTTAAATCCCATGGGGAATAAAATGAAGGCTGAGGACTCTATCTGCCCCTCACTTTAGATGCTTTCTGTTACTGATGTGCTCAGGGTTGCTCTGGACAGTGGGGCTGGCTGGGGTCTGTCTTCTTTGTTGTCCCCTCCCCTCCTGAAGATGTCTCCTCCAGCCTGGCCCTAGCATCGCCTGCCCTCTGCTCTGGTGGTTGTAGAACATAATTTTGAAAGCTACTAATGTAGGGAGTCCTGTCCCAGGAAATAAGGGACACCAGATGTGTCATCCAGTTCTGACCTCAGCATTGTGCTGTGGCCGGCGGCTAACACCTCCTCCCTGACCATGGTGACTGTCCCTATATACCTTCCTTCTTCCATTCCACACCCATTATCCCACTTTTCAAGCTAGAATTGGAACAAGAGGTGGCCCAACCACATGATGAAAGGGGAGGCAGCCTCTTAGAATGTGGATGGGGATATAGCATTATTTCTATGGAAAGACACTTGTAGCATCTTGAGAGGTTCAAAAAGTAAACAATAGTTTGGAAAAGATCACAGTCCCTCATTTATAAAACTTATGTGAACTAATTGAATGTGCAAGGAAAAACTCTAGAGGATCCTGAGTCTCTGGTGGTGGGGCTGTGGTGATCTTTGTGGGTATGTATTTGCCTTTGTGTATATTTTAATTTTTCTGTAATAAACATATGGTACATTTGAAATAAAGCAATAACAAAATGTTTTAAATTTTAAGAAGGTTGTCATTAAAAACAGCCCAGTTTAACAATGACTCTCCAAACTTGTTTCTTTTTATGAGCGAGGAAATTAAGTTTGTTCTAGGGTTAAAAAAAAAAGATAGGGCCCTCCCTGGTGACACAGCAGGTTAAAGCACAGCACTAAGAAGTCAACACCAGTTCTGCATGAGTTAGATCCCCACCCTGGAGGTGACCCACATGGCACAGCAGACCTCTCCTGACCTGCCCGCTGCTCCCCTCAGCAGTGTACTTCGCCGATCTGCCTGTTCTGCCCCCCACTCTGTCTCTGGTGAAGCCTTTCACTGCCCCTGCACCTCTGGCTTGTACCCCAGTTCTGTATGCAAAAATAAATAATTTTTTTTAAAAAAAGAAAGATAAATTCTCTTCCAAGATCACCAAACTATAGATACCATTCACATAATTTAGAGCATCACCAGTGGGCCATAAGAAATAGTATCAAAAATACTAACAGCTTCCTAATGAAGTATTCAATAAAAGCACTTAATAGATCCCTCTAGTTGTAATGATCAGTACAACAGAAAGACCTGGCTTCTGACAGAGACACGAGCTTTTGAAACTGCTGAGATGCGTTGTTCCAGGTGGAGTTGTCTAGTTCTTTCTTTGCTTGTTGCTCTGTTCATTTTTCTATGTATTTTCTTCTCCTCTGTTCCTTTAAGGAAGAACAATCATTTCTCTTGCTTTCTTTGTTTCTTAGTCCTTAAGCTGTTTGTTCATGTTATTTTAGAAACCATACTCAAAAAGCTTGTGGATCTGTTTTCCTGCATAAACCATTGCCAGTGCAGCTTCATACAATGAAGGGGCAACTCCCAGCTTCTCCCTGGGAATTAAGGGTTTCAAACTCATATTTAGCACCGTATCTTTTTTTTTCTTCTTTTCAATAGTTTATTTTTCCATCGTTTTGTGCATTTTTCCATCTCAGTTGTAATCCCCATGGGCTTTCCATCACCAAATCACCCATGTGCCATCACCATAGTCTGTGCATTTCCCTCCCCCCACTGTTTTTGATCCCATTTCCCACTCCACCCCTGTAAAATGTCTCTGGTATATAGCTGTTCATCATTATTATTATTATTACTTTCTCGCCTCATCCGTTGTACTCCTGCTATGAGTGAAACCATTCAGTATTTTTTTTTGGTTGCTGAGTAATACTCCACTGTGTATATGTACCACATCTTTTTAATCCAGTCATCCCCTTTTAGGCATTTGGGTTGTTTCCATGTCTTTTGAATTGTAAATAATGCAGCAATAAACATGGGGGAGTTCCCTATCTTTTAAAACTGCCCTATTTTTTTCTAGTTCCTTTGATCCAAAAAAATTGCCCACCTCCCCCTTTTTTCTTCCTGGTCTGGGCCCCACTTCTGCAAAGGTATGGGTCATGCCAGAGCTGCATTTCAGATCTATGTAGCCTTTCTTTGGCTTGTAGAGACTCAAGTTCCAGCACCAGAAATTTATATTTTTAAGTAGTTTAAAAAGAAAAGGAAGAAATTGGCTATGGTCCTACGTACCCATATGAACTTGAGCAAATTTCTAAACCTCACCGTGCTTCATTTCCCTCTGAGGTAGAGGCTGTAAGGTGGCTGGATGGGGTGCATAGGTTCCTGGGGGTCGGTCATTAAGTGGCTGGAAAGCTATGGTCCAGACAGAGGTGCGGGTGGAAAAGTCGAGGCCCTGGGCAATCAGGGGCCTGCCCTCTCACAGGGAGGCCGGGATAGCTCCAAAATGCTCATGCCGTGACTGTAATGTTAGTCTGGAAGCACAGAATGACAGATGCTCCTGCTGAAAAGGAGACCACGGGGGGCCATGCAGCGGGCTCCCCACCCCACTCAGGAATCCCTCTACCCACACTGACCTGTGCCAAAGCACCCAGAAATAGGGGTGTGGTGCTGACACCCATGCAGAGCCCCCCCACTCCCTCCCACACACCCAGGGAACCCTAGGTGCTGTGGGCAGGAAGAACAACAGATGTTGGAAGAATTGGACTGGGAACCTGGAACCCAGGTTCTGGTCCTGAATCTGTGATTCTCTGTGGGTGACCTTGACTTTGAAAGACCTCAGAGGATTTGAGTGAGTCTAAGCACTGAGAGGTGGGAGGCCGCTGCAGGGCAGAGGGGACTCTGGGTGGTCTTTGTTCACTGCTCATCCCTGCCCTCAGCACAGCGGCCACACCACTGGGTGGACTAGCGTTTATGAGCTGTGGGCTGGGCTAGTCGTCAGAAAAAGCGATGGGCAAACACTGCGGCCCATGCCCGCTCAAGAGCAAAGGGCATGTTGAAGACTGAGGCTTCTGCTTGGCCTGGGAAGCATTTAGACTCATGCACAAGCCCCTGACCATGCACAACTGTGCAGTCACTCCAACGAGTCCGTACTCACACGTCTCCGCTTTAAGATTTATTTATTTATGCATACAGAACTGGGGTAACAGGCCAGAGGTGCAGGGGCAGTAAGTGGCTTCACCAGAGACAAAGTGGGGTGCAGAACAGGCAGATCAGTGAAGTGCACTGATGAGGGGAGCAGCGGGCGGGTCAGGAGAGGTCTGCCACGCCATGTGGTCACCAGGCGGGGATCGAACTCATGCGGAAGTGGCTTTAGCTTCTCAGTGCTGTGCTTTAACCT